CAATAAAGTTGTGAATAGAATTGAAAAGCGAAGTAATGGGGTAGAAAAACTGCATTTGTCCTCTGCCTCAGAACTGAAATCAGTCGGGGAGTCTGTCTCGGTAAGTGAAGAGATGAAATGCTTGTCAAGGGTAACAGACTTGTGCACGGACGCCTTTCACCAATGACTAGCCATTACTCTCACCCCTGTCAAGCAAACACTTCATCCAAACTGGCATCCTTCAGTGCTGCGGAGACAGAGTAATCATGAAATGCCACAGACAAATGTGGAGGTGCATTCAAGAGCCATGTCAACCAGGCAGGCCCGGCACCTGCACACACACACACATTAAAGACTGCAGAATGCTCCTGCTGAATCAGGCCTAATCCTCCGGCTTTTAAATTTCCCCTCTGTGATTTGTGACGATGGAATAGAGCCACAAGTTTCCTGGACATCGTCCCTTTACCATCCTGCATGGTAAAGGTCTTCATAGCAAAGCTGTTTCACTAAAGCAATAAAGATGTTCTTTCAAAGGCAACTGGCATATGGAGGCACGCCAAAACCTTTTCTTTTATTGGACGACTAGCGCTGACAGCAGGGTTTAAATAGGTGGCACAAGCACCGGGCTTATTTGCAGGGAAATTTAAAATCATTAAGTCTGCTGTAATGCGGAATTACTCACATAAAGACTATTTTAAGTTTACTAGCTGCCGGTGAGGTTGTAATTAACAGCAGTGCTTGGAGTTGAACACACAAGAACGCAGGGGTAATGTTTGCATTGTGAACCTAGTTTGTTGTTTAGTTTTAAACACAGTGTATCCAAATAAAGCCTTGGGGGGTTGGGACTGCTATTAGCGTTGTGGGTATTTGATCAGCAATCATGCTGCTGAACAGTAGGATTCATCCTCTATGCAACATGAACTAAAGTGTATGAGTTTACATCTAATAGCTATAGACTGACAGTGCTATCCTTAAAGCCACAATCGGCTAAGAAACCTGAGCTAACTTTATCAAATCCAGTCTTCTGCCACACAGCGTGTACCATAATGACATAATGGTACTAAAAAAGGGATTGCAGTATATGACAGCTATACAGATGCAATTTTTCTGCCTCCATGGCTTTATTACACCAATTAAACCAAAGCCATATGATTTTATGCTTTACAAGACCTCCAATCAGAATGATTTTGGCATCACTTCATCCAAAATTAACTGATGGAAACCTACACTTTCTTCAAAGAGAAGGGTTTTTTGTTTGCTTGTTTTACTCCACGAGTTGAAAATACCTCAGAGAGCAGCCAAGTGCTGCTGTGGAGGAGCATGGATTATTCTGTCAAACATTTCTAACTGGACGCTTCAAAACAAATGGTATCCCCTCTTTCACCAAGTCCTGATTAGTCAGTTTGTCTCCTGCTTTATCAGCCCTCTTGTCAGTCAACCTTATCCTCCTAATGACTCCTGTCAGTCAGGGATGTAACTGTCAACCCGTGTCAATGGCTGCACGTCGTCCTCCCGTGACTTGATAACGAGCTGTGCACGTCAAAGCACTTGGCCATTTTCAGCGCAAATGTTTGCACGCGCCTCATCTTGAAATGCGCCGAAATTTCAACAGGAGAAGCTTCTGCAACGCCCGATGATAAGAACGAGTTAGCTGTTCGGAAGGAGAACAGGGCTGACCCAGGGGAGAGCGAGGTGGCGGCGGCGGCAGCAAAACCTCGTTTGCATAAGGGAGGAGGCCGGGGGGGGAGGGCTGAAAATGAAGGTGAAGATCTCTTCAGATGTGGCAGTTGTGATGAAAAGAGAAGCAAATGACTGAAGACAAGAGGTGGAGAAGAGAGGTAGTGGAGCAGCGTGCATTATTCATCCCTGCTGACACATCAGAATCTTTGATTCATCTGGAGAAGGGCATCAGTCAAGTCAAAACCTATCTCTGAGCCTTCACTCATGTGTACGCACGGGAACACAGACCCATGAAGAAAAGACACACTCACATAACCGCAAGTGACCCTTGTGGTCGAAGAAAGGATCATAATGGGTCTGGTTTAAGAGACGCATCTTTACATAACTAGATTATAGTGCAGGTTTCAACTGTTAAAGCAGCTACCTAATACTTTTTTGTGTACTTTAATTATTTGTACACATCATCAATTTTAAAGTAGGGCAGCTGTGGCTCAGGAGGTACAGCAGGTCATGTACTGACTGGAAGGTTGGTGCTTTAATCCCTGGGTGCTCCAGTCTGCAAGATGCTGTTTGAAGTGTGAATGCTACATAAAAAAAGGTCCTGATGTATAAAGAGCTCTGAATGTTTGACTCGAGTAGAAAAGCACTATATAAGAACCAGTCCATTACACAATAAGCATGTCTCGACGCACTCTTGGAGCCAGTTTTGAACTTTTATCATTAGATGTGGTGATGAAGCCATAAAGTGGTCATTTAGTATGTGATTGTTGATAATTGTGTGTGTGTTTCTTTGCAACTAATGTCATCATATGAATAATCTGATGGCTGGACGATTACCAAAATGAACATATAAAATACCACAGAATATACTTCCTACATGCTATAGAAAGGCTCAGCCACCTCATTTAACCATTTATGAATTAGATTAGCTCAGAAATACTAATTCGACCACCAGAATTTTGAAAAGCATTAATGCTATGCTACGATGATATGATAATAAGGAAAGTTGGTTTAATGCCCAGCCATACTAAAGATAAGGGTTAGATTTGGATATAAAACAATATAGTTTTAGTGTGCATCCTGATAGTCCCTCATTCAAGTTTCATTCCAGTTATTAGGTCAAAAAATAGATGTTTTGATTTTTAAAGGGTATTGTTTTGAGTAATGCGGTGCCTCCAACCACATTACACAGGCGTATCGGCTTCATTCTGCATGCTGTATATGAATTGCTTTCAGGAGCATATAAATAAACAGAGGCAAAGCAGACAAAAGCTCACTGTTTGGAAGGCTTTGAAAAGGTCAATTAATATCTATTCCTAGACAACAACAAGTTGTTTTTTCCCTCCTTCTTGTAATACAGGTGGCTACGCTCCCAGCATCAAAGTCGCACGCCTTTATGTTCTCCTTCCTTCCTTCCTTCCTGGTAATGGAGGGTAGGCACAGAGCCTGGCAAAATCCAAAGATGGGCATAGCATGTAACACAGGGGAAGAACGTAAGAGAGCAGAGCAGTTAGGGTGACGCTGCAGCGAGAATGTGGGATTGAGACTTCAATGAAGCCTTTGACTTGGAAACCAAAGCTGCTCCAGTGGGAGCACACGTCACCCGGCATATTAAAGTCTGGATGGATCTTACAGTGGTATCTGTTCAGAGGGAGCAGAAAACCATTGAGGCCCATGGTTGAACCCTTAGAAGTGCTATTTAAAGAGTACATGCCATCACTGATTTCATAAGCTACCGCTCCTAACAGCGCGTAGATGAATACCTATGGGGCCAAGAATCTCTTGACTCTTGGAAGAGAAAATCTGATCTATTTCCAGCACACAGAGGTAATCAACCAGTCCAGTTATTCTGCTTCCACCATAATGACTTCCTTGTCATAATGATGCAAATATACACATTGCTTGCCATCTTATGAAGGTGCATAGTGTAGCCTTCTGTTAAACACAGAGTGGAGCTGAAAAGACGAGAGGGAAAAAATCGGGAGGGGATCTGCTAAAGAGAGGAATCCATGCATAAAAACGACTGATTAAAATAATTAGGGATGTGGAAATGGTCTGGAACAATAACCAGCAAACACAAGGTGCCCCAGGGAACATTTCCCATCTGTGTGTGAGGAGGAAGACCTCCCTCAAATTCACCACGACAGCGTGATTTTCTAGTTTACAGAGGCCACACAACGGAAACCCAGAAAAACTAAACAGGCCCTTGAAGTTTACATGATTAAATCCCAAACGGGCAATAGCCATCGGAAAATGTGTCAGGATGAATCGACGTATCATTAAATTACATTCTGCCTGCACGCGTGACTGGCTGTGTTAACAGTCAAAACCTTGTGTTTATAATTATAGACATCTGAGAGGTCTATGGACTAGAAACACTGCCTATATGTGCAGATGGGCTTGTTTTAAGTAATGTTGGAGAGTAGCAGATGCAGCAGCAGCAGAACCACTCTATTGTCTAGGAACCAGTCCTGCTAAATAAGTCCATCCGCTTTGCCACCTGGTGCCTTCCATACCATAAATGATTCACAAATACTGGTATAATAGCCTGTATGGATTCATAATGTGTCTGCGAGGGCCCCTTTGAGCATGCTGACATAATGACATTATCATAGTGTTATATTTACTTTGGCGTGGCATCAGTGAAATTTAGACACAATAGAAACAGAACTAAGAGTTTTCTTCCTTTTTTCTTTCTTTTAAAAAATATCCTTGGCAGATATACAAGATGCCTGTGTTACATAGATTTGATCATAAAGATGAGCTCTTTCTTGTCTGAGTCTACTGTTTATATTTTTCTTTCTTTTTCTTTTCTTCTTCTTTTTTTTAATAGTCTTTAAAAAAAAACCGGACTCAACATAGACTCGTCGCGCCTGGAGAGCGCTTTAAAGGGCCATCAAAATAAAAGCCACTTTTAATGACAGTTGATGAGGAACAAAGGCTTTGCCAGTCTGCCCGGGTCCCTCATGCTGCCCAGCCAACAATAAGGAGGAGGGGGTGATGAAGAGGGACGCGCACTCACAGCGTTGTTGCCAACCAGCCTGATCTGCACAACCTCGTTTTTTTGTGTGGTTTTTTTTTTTTTTTTTTTTACCCAAACGCTTGAAACAAAATCTGAAGTGATGCTGCAGCTGCTGAGTAAAAGAGAAACACCACAAAGAAACACCCCGGGAAAGACTGAGCGGTGAAATTCCATCCGGGCTGGGATCTACTCTTGCCGCTTTAGTTTCCAAAAGGCTAATCGACAAGTAAAAATGTAACCAGCCTGGGTGGGGTGCACGACTGCAAACATTAACTGTTAAAATAAATATACATATGTATAAATGGATGGTGCGGGTTACCTCGGTAGGAAGTGCTCCGTCTTCCTTACTGTCTGGTAGATTCATGTGGGTGGATTTGCAGCTGGAAGCTTCCTTAGAAACAGCAAGGATAAATGTAATCCAGTGGCAGCTCCACTCAGATGAAGGTCTTCCTTTGTGGAGGGTGCATGCACACATCGCCGGCGTTTCCCCCCCCCACACACCGTCCTGGCTGTCCACCGACCTCTCGGAGCGCAGCGGGTCACGGCTGCTCCTCAGCCCTTTTGTCGGGAGAGCATTGCTGATCGGGCGGCCTCAGATACTGCTGGTTGATGTCATTGATACTCCCTGCCTTCTTCCTTAATGCCCTCCTCCTTCCCTCTCCTCGCCTACCCCTCCCAGCTCTCTCTCTCTCTCTCTCTCTTTCATGCACACACCGGAGCACTCCCCCCACCCCTCCCTCTTACACATGACGTGATGCAGGCAAGATCTCCAATAGCAACCGTATCCCCCATCACCTCTATTACCCCCATTACTTCCCCACTTCAACCCCCACCTCCTCCAGCTCTCTCTGGTATCGCTGACTGGTGCAAAAGAGGCAGCAGCTGTGGCAGGTTGGTCTTGTGTATTAGTGACTGATTTATTTATTTATTTATTTGCCCCCACTTTGCTCCCCAAGGAGCTAAAATGAAGAGAAGCACCCTAGACCTCTTAGATTCCCATAACATAGCATCTAATTATAGCTGCTGGCAGGAATAAAGAGTGAGAGGCTCATAACGGCTCCCACTGAGCAGAACTCCCACACTAAATTACAGCTGGACTCTAAAATATTGTAGGGAAATACAAGTCCTGGTGAGATGTTATGGAAATGCATTAATAATTCCACAGGAGGTAAATAACGCAGTAGCATCTGAGGACAACAGATGGAAGGAGTTTAAAAGTATTATTTATTGTTCTGGAGACAGACTCAGTAGCAAGTTTATAGGTTCACTTGCCTAAAATGAACAACTATTAAAGCCAACAACAGTGCAACAAATCCACGTTCATCAAGGTTATGGTCAGCTTTCATTTAAGCTGCTGATTTAGTTTTACCTTTACTTTAGGGTTACATCACTGGCTGAGCATCAGTATCAACCAATATTAATGAGAAGGAGTGTTCTGGTAGCAGCGGCTGATGTTTATCTCTTGATGCATACGTATACATCATATATACCAGTACTGATATTCTTGGCTATTTTAGGCTGGAGTTAGCAGTAGTCTATTATAAATGAGCTGTTCCTTATAATTTATTCAGTCCTGTTATATTAACAAAGGTGGATTCATTGATCATTTATATCAGTGGGGTCAAATGTGTGCACTTTTATCATTGGTTTTCTTAATCTACAGTACATATATATCAAAAATGGTTTTCAGGGGATTTAATCAATATCACAGTAGCAAAGGGTCGGTAAAAATATATGGAAGTGACTGCCGAACAGGTTAATGTAAGAAATGAATCAAATGAAATATAATTATCAGGATAAATGCCTGCAGTTAAACAATGTGTGTGTGTGTAATGTAACCAATTTTGTTGTATTAGCTTATCTTCGTTTCTGGCGTTGCCCACAAATTTGATTTAAAATATCAATAAAAAAAAAGAAAGAAAAGAAAAACAGGGCAACAAAGCACTATTCTTTAACCTGAAGCAAATTGAAATAGTTCAACATAGGACTTTGTTATATCTAGTTTAATGATCTGGTGCTATTTGGGTCACGCAGCATGACAAAAGCAACAGCCACAAGGGCAGATCGTGAGGTGTTGGAGTGTGGTGCTGGACGTTGGCATGGCACCTGAGGATGTCACGAAGGAGGTTTTATATTAATCTTTCTGCTGACCCCCATAGAAAACCCTGCAAAAAGACTCAGCGCCTCCCATCTACCAAGATTTCTTTTCCTCTTTACCTAAAAATGCACATTTAGTGCTTACATTTTCTTTCTTTTTTTTCAAATAAATGCCATCCTCAACAGCTCATTCTGTTTCTCTATCGGTACAAAGACTTCTTTGTCAGAGTCAGACTCTCTGCTGAAAGAGACACAAAGAAAAAGAAAATCAACCCACCACCACCATTTCTGCCTGAGAGCTACATTTCTGAGCATTTCACATGATCTTAAAGGAACAAAAGACTTCTTGTCTGATTGATTTTCTTTGTTGCTAGTGACATCTAGTGGGAAGTTACTATTATATGATGTTACATTTACTTGAGGATGGAAATATGAACAAAGAAAATTCATGACTCCAGGTTTAGGTATGTCAGTATTTCTATGCCAAGTCTCTTCAGTTTGCAGAAGATAAGTTCCTAAAAGGAAGCCGAGCTTTGGGATTTCCTTTTTTTTTTGCCTTCAAGTACCAAAAATACACTTTCCTCTTCTATTTATCCCAATATTACCACTTGTAAATATCTTATATGAAGAAGGGCTACTTCCACAGTTATTATCTAACACAATAAGTTAATGACCATTTTTCCCTTTAACAGAGGGGTCAGGTCAGCCATGGGAGACCATGTGGATTACGTCAGTGTTCACAGTTTCTTATTTCATGACTGTTATGCAGGGTAGACGCTACATTTACCACCTGGTGTTTCTCGACTAGCTGCCACCACACTGCCCGACTTAATGTAGTTAGGTTAAGCTTTTATCGATGGATAGCTAATATTGTGTCTGTTACTATAAGAATAATGCCGTCTCTGTTGTCCGTGCGCCGTCTCTGCCAGTCACCCTGTGACCTGCCTGTCTGACTGTATAGCATTACAGTATTCCCATTTTCAGAGTGGAAGCTAGGGCAAAAGATCCCTAAAATTAGCAGAGTAAGTGGCCTGTCTCTAGCACTACCCTGCAGCAGTGACGTTAATTGCACTCTATTTATATTTTAAGAGTGCAGGACTCTGAAAGATCAAGTTTCTGTTATGCTTTATTTCAGGGTGCTGGAGTTTGTGAGCTGTGGAAAGCCTGCGTAATGAGAGCTCGCAGATTTTGTTTTTGATACGTGTGCACTCCAAGATAATGTCACTTCCAGTGTCCAAATTAGATCATTTCATGGACCTGGCTGTCACAATGGCATGGTAAGGCTGTTATGTCCTGCTGCTATCACAATGCAAACGCTGCTGCCATGTGAGCAACAGCGCTCAGACTGAATAATTAAAATCAAGACATCGAAAACTGGGATTCATTTCCAGCTTTCCAGCCTAAGTCAAGAACAACTCTCATTCACATTTTTGCACACAGACAAGAGCCACAGGAACGCTGAGCCGACATACAGGGATTCTGTTGTGATACTGAATTTTATTCAGGCATCTCCAACACACTTTTAATCTTGAGTTATCGCAAATCTGCTGGGAAAGACAAAGGCAGCGACAGTTTAGAGCCTGAATATAAGGTGTTTAGGATCTTCCAGAGCCTCTTCAGTGTGTATTTCAACTTTTTAGTGGTGCTTAACACAGACTGACAAATAAAATATTGCTGAAAACACAAGAAAAACAACTAAATATAAGACTGAGATGCAGGAATGGCCAAAGAGCCATCTGTTCCTTTTTGTTTTCTGTGAACTGCATCTGATGTTAAAGGGAAAATTCACTGCAAGGCAAAAACCAACACATGATCCTCGACAGTTGATTTGTGCCTTTTTTTATAGCGACGAGAGCGCGCTCAAAGGTCCGTTGTTGTCCCCGCAAACGTCATGAGGCTGCTTCTTTTGCATTAACTTGGATGTCTTTCTTGTGGATTTCATAATCCTGGGAGGAGGCACGCAGGTACGCGTCAGGCTCTGTTAGAAACTGTTCATTCAGAAATAAGTAGAAATTAACAAAACATTCTTAGATTTAAATATTCAGAAGATACCAAATTATTGTTAAAGAAGCAGCCCCAATCATTTAAGTCATCATATTAGGATGAACATGTACAACAGAGGGGAAAAAACCCCAAAAAAACAAAAACAACATGTAAATCGTGTTCATGCAGCGACTTTTAGCTTCACAATTTTTGGAATAATATTAACAACTGCATAGGTTATCTTGTTTGGAGACTGGGGAGTGTTAAATAATGGCACCTGTCTCTTTTTTTTTTTTTTTTACTAAGTCAGACGGTGCAGCAGGCTGACAAAATACTGTCACAGTCCAGTCAATGTTCTCCTCAAGCTCAGAGGTTCATGTCTGTAACTTCATATTATTACTTTTGCTTGTAATCAGGAAGAAAACATTCATTGCTTTTGCCATTTTGCCACTGGTTTACAGTTTGTAACGGAACATTTGGCACAGTACTTTCAACACGTTCCCAGCGTCAGAGAAACATAACAGATGGTACACCGAATGCGAACAAGTAGAACCAGGCACAAAGAAAAGAAAAAAAAATGCCAGTGACTTGTTGAGTTTGTTCAAATATTTCCTTTCTGAATGAATCTGCTAAACAACAAGTGAGCTACCACAGTCACACTTCATTTTCATGCATGTTATCTGGCTACTTTGATCAGATGCTTTGTGTCAGTAAAAACGAGCCCATTTCTCATACACTTCAGCCACTAGCAAACCCACACAAACCCCCATCAGCTTGTACCGCTCCCTTTTTGCTTGTTTGTTTTAGAAGGAGACACTGAGAGGAGACGCAATAGAGTCTATATGATGTTAACGTTTCACCTGGCATTAAGTAGCAGTGGAAACCAACAATCACCTTAAAAGTCTGTGTTAGAATAAAGCAACAACTGACCAGACCTCTGGCAGACACTTAAGCCCAGAGGTTGGATGTTTATTGCTATTGGTTTGGTCTGATAAAAACGTTGGTTACAGTCAGCAGTGGAGCAGAAGTCAAGAGGAGACTTGTGTCGAGCAAAAAAACCCCCAAAAGAATAGTTTGTGTCAGGTCACAGTAAAGAATAGGCGAGAACGGGAAGAGTAGTTGCTGGGATGCCTCTTCATTAGAAGGGGGCGGTTGATGCAGAAGTGGAAGTCAGTGCAGCTCAATGAAAGCCTCCATCTCTTCAGAGATGAGTCCCCTGTAGGGCAGTCTGTGCTTTTCGATTGCACGTGCTGCCAGGCACTGAAGGGTGACGTAGTTTAGCGGGTAGAGGGCCGGGTGCCCGCTGCTGTGCTCATCCAACAGCTCGTAGGCCGTCTTCCTCTGTGCATTTGTGGCATCGAAGTGAGCTCCAGCCTTCATGAGGAGCGCTATAATCTCCGGACAACCGTTGTTAGCAGCAATGTGCAGCGGTGTGTTGTTCTCACAGTCCCGCGAATCAACGTCCGCGCCGCACTCTAGGAGCAGTGCAGCCACCGCCTGGGAGGGGAAGCGGCCTACCGGGTAGCGGCCGACAGATGTCGTTTCCTTGTCTACGGCCATGTGCAGGGGGGTGAAGCCGCTCCGCCCTCGGGGGTTCAGCTTTAGAAGTCGGTACACCGTGTGCTTCTTCTGGTGCTCCTGCTCCGGGCTGCACTCGAGCTTCTCCAGTAGAAAGATGAGGTGGAGGATGATGGAGAGGGCTTTGGTGAACTGAGGAGCTTCTGGGGGATTATCCCTCTGTGCCACAGCTCTCTCTACCTCCCTCACGCTTTTGCCCAACACAGTCATGAGATCATGGAAGGTGATGCGTGTTGACAGCGAGCCTTTTGCCCGGTCTTGAAGAACAAACGAGAAGAGCTCTGCAAAAGACAGGAAACTTGAGGCTGTCATGGGACTGAGAGGGTCCAGGTTGCTTTGCTGCATGTCTAAAGCGTACTTCCACAGACTTATGCAGCGCTCAAAGTTGCCCGAGTCAGCGTACACAGCTCCCCTATAGCGGATGTAATAAGACGTGTCTGGATGGGACGGGCCCAGGATGCGCTCGCGAATCAACAGGGCCTGCATCCTCATTTCGTCCGGGTCGGTGATCAAAGCCTCGAGTTCCTCTGCAGTGCACACCTCCTGTGCGCAGCCATAGGCGGGGATCGGGGGACCGGGTGGGGGCTTGGCAAGAGAACCGGTCTTTTCCCCTGGCTGCCTCAGCTCCATCGCCCTCCTCCAGTACCTCATGGCGCCCAACAGATCACGCTTTTTGTCCACAAAAGTAGCCCCTAGGAGTTCAAGTGCATCAATGCGCTCCTCTCTGGAGGTACGAGGCTGGTGGGCGAGGTACTCCACTATGTTGGTGTGACCCGTCACGCTTGCGGCCAGGAGCGGGGTCATCCCGTATCCGTCTCTCTCCATGCGGGCACTGCACTTCAGCAGCATCTTCATGATGTCCAGACTACCTGACTCGGCACAGTCGTGTAGGGCAGTGTTTCCTTTCACACTCTTGCGGTTAACATCCGCACCGCGATCCAGGAGGAACTTGGCTATCTCCTTGTGGCCCTTATAGCAGGAGATCATGAGGCAGGTGTGGCCGTGGCGGTTGGCGACCTCCATGTCGGCTCTGTGCTCCACCAGGTAGCGGACGATCTCCAGGTGACCGTCGAAGCAGGCAGCTCGGAGCGGCGTTGAGTTAGTTAGTGTTGCATTGTTTACTGAGGCACCGTGTTTCAGTAGCGTCTTCACCACAAGGAGGTGACCGGCTGCCGAAGCCGCCCAGAGCGGCGGAGCCCCCTCGATGGTCTCGCCGTCAAAGTTCACCGAACCCCCGAGTTCAACATTCGCTTTACAATGTTCAAGGAGGTAGTCCACCACCTCTAAATGTCCGTATCGAGAGGCTATCAGCAAAGGGGTTCCCCCCTGTGTTTTCTCCTCAGCCAAAGCCTCCAGCTCCTCTGGACTTTTGTTGCTCAGCAACTTCTGGATAAGTTTCAGCTTACCATCTCTGGCCGCGTTGAAAACCGCCGTCGATATATCCATGTTACAGGCTCTGTGCTGCCTCGCTGGGCTCCAACTCCATAACCACCCGCGGTTGGGGAAAAACGGCGCCGACTGGTTTTAAATAGCAGAGCGCTGAGATCTTAGTTTGGACTCGGTTTCTAGCTCACATCTTTCTGCCATTTTGAGGGTGCTGTCAAGATGGCGTCTATGTTGTTTGACAGGTCTATGTTTACGATGACGGTGAGGCATTGTGGGTGATGTAGTGTTGGGGGAATTTCCAGTTCTCAAGAGCAGGAGGCGTTTCCTGGAAGATAAACTACATTTCCCGTGATGTGTGTCAGTTAAAGAGCTGCCAGCTGATGGGTTCGTTTGTTGTGGCGATCGCACCAACAAAGCGCAGTGTTTCCAGCTGATTCCGCGCTTACAAAGCAAGTATACCCGAAAAGAGTTGTAATGAAAACGGTAGCGGCTACTTATAATAAAAGTCGGTGTAATCCACCCGCTGGTAGAACATATGCTGTGTTTGATATATAGTTTAGTCTCACAAAACTGTACACCGTTATTATACAGTACTGTGCAGAAGCCTCGAGCCGCCCTTCATTTCTTTATATTTTGCGAGGAAAAAGTATATATACAAAAACAAACAAAACTTCGAACAGAATCAATATTTGTTTTGCTTTTCAACTCAGCCTTAATTGAGCTTTCTTTCAATTTCTTTAAGTAGTATTCAGGAATAGGACAATCAAAGCTCTTATCCGGATGTTTTGGTTCGTTGTCACGCTAAAAAATAAAATTGGCACCAATCACTTTCTTTCCATGTGGTATTACATGGTGGATGAAAATCGTTCTCCATGTTTTATTGATGTCTTCTTCATACATATTAATGATGATTTGAACAAAAAAAAATAAAGAAGGGAAATTTGGATGCAAATATGCATTCATCACTCCATCAGACCTGTTGCCACTGATTTTCAGTCCAGGTGCGATCTGGCGTACGTCAGCCTTCCCCCTGTTTCCCTTCCTTAAGAATGGCTTCTTGACAGCCAACCACTGAGTCCTCGTGATGATGTGTCATTGAACAGCAGGTGGATGAACCAAAGGATCAGACGCATCTCTCAGGTTCTGTGTCAGGTCATTGCTGGATTTTCTTTCTGCTTCTTAAGAATATGACTTTCAGATACTGTTCATTTGCTGTAAATAGTTCTTTCGTCCTCCACTTGGTCTGGTTTCCTCAAACATTTTAAGGACACCCTGCACATCCTGCCCAGATGTCACATTTGTGCCTGAAAGTTCCCTGGGGCTCACCTTGTTACCTCTGTGAGATCTTCTTATGCATTTTTCATAGAGTCAGTCAAAGTAGTTGTTGTTTTTGTGACAGTCTGAGAGCAACAAAGCACCAAAAGAGACCATTTAAAATTTGTTCTCTAGTTCATCCCTTAAGATATGTATCTTAGGTCAGTTTTGAGAAAAAACGATGAAAAATAAATAAATAACAATAAAAATAAACAAAACAGATAAACAAAAAACTCCTGTTGCAGGCAGCTGAAATGTTGGATTCTCCTCCTTTAGACAGCTGCGTCGTGCCAAACTGTGACTGTCTGCATGCACATTTTGAATGTGCATGAATCCTACCAGCTCTTAATTCAAATCAGGAGTTTCAGTCAGTCTGAATTAAATAGCATAATATTCTAAATCTAATGATTATCACCGAATAATCAAATGACAGAATCCTATCTCACAGGCAGCGAGGCCTCCTGCACTGTGAGCAAACAGTCACCATCATCCCCTACTTGCCATATGACTACATATTACTTTGGAAGATTATTACTTAGGTTAATGTTATGGGGATAACACAGTTTTAAATTTGACAGCAGGGATGAGATTCATTTTTAGTTAAAAAAAAAATCCAAATGAAAACAGTAAGGAGCTGGAAACCTACACCACTGATCCCAACAGTTGTTAGGTCACATCACTCTGTCCTCCTACTCAACGCCAGGGGCCAGAATATTGACTTAAATGTTCAGTGCCAAAATCTGTAGCCTACGTGCTTCATATGACTTTATCTTATTTGTAAAGTGGAAACTGGAAACATATAACATATGTATAAATACACTGTGGCATGGAGAGTTGCTATAGCTGATGGTTAAAACATTAAATGAATTCAGAGGATAAATGCTGCTACACGGCAGTCATTTTCAGTCCTTGCATACAGTAAAACATGAAGAGGAAACACAGTCTGAATGCAAATAAAAGCTTCCACTGTGCTTCTCTTTTAAAGCCTCTTAAAAATATCATTTCCAGTCTGTCTCATGAAATCATAAAAGTAAAATTTGGGGGGGGGAGACATTATTTGGTCAAATTAATTAAAGCTTTTATGCTTACATAAGTGTTTGTTTGTTTTTTTAAGTCGTCAGAGCTGAATATTTTTTTTAAAAACCATCTGACTGTGCTGCAAACAGTCTGTTAATGAATAAGGAGATTTTTGATGGACCCTGGTTGCCGTGTGGAAATGTCTTTATGCATGTGTGAGAAGATTTTCCAGCGAGACCCGCAAACCTCAAACCAACAACTGCACTCACAGAAACAATCAGGACTTTTAATTTCTGCTTTTGATTACCTCAAGTTAAAAACAAAAAAACTCTTCATCTTCATTTGATTGTGTAGGCTGTTGTTGAGCTCTGGATTTTTTTTCCAGTTAGGAGGTTATTAGATGGTTCAAGTTTCATAATTTCCCTTCTTGAGTATTACCACTACGGCAGCTAACACACTTAATTTTCTTTCAGTTTTATCGCTCTGCTCTTGAGTTTGTAGGAAATGCATCTCCTTTTAGCTTACAGATGAATGTTTCCCACAGGCTTATACCAGTGAAGAAATAGGGGTCATCACTCTTGTGCACAAACTTGAGCGTCGTCTCCCAAGTTTTTACATTTTTAATGAAATCCTGGATTATTTTCTGCTCTGGGTCACCAAACTGTCTGCCTGATATATCGGGGGGCAGGTGGTGATTGAAACAAAGGCTGTCTCAGCACTTATTTTATAAAAATGAAGTGACGTTTTGATGATTTAGCTCACTTGCATGTCATTCTGCTGTTGCACCAGCAGAGGAGGCAAAAGTCCACGTTTAATATTTTTTCTTTTTCTTTTTTAGTAGTGGGACTTCTGCCATGTATGTCTGCCAAATGTACAAGTGTGGATTGCAGTGTGTCTTCTACATTTTTTTTTATTATCCTATAGTAGCACAAATACATTTCCACTTGTCAACCCAAATGTTGAACTCATAAATCGAGACCTAACCTCCCTGTGCAGACGGATTATTTCCAGAGAAAGACAGTGTGTGCCAGTAACTGTGATTAACACCAGCCTTCTTAATAACTATTTGAAACTCACTGGAGGACTGAATAGGAAACATGCTTTTAAAATTAAACAGGGATTTTGAATGCACACAGAAACAATATTGGGGTTGGGGGGGTATTTGGAATCAAAAGGCTCACAAATGACACCCAGCTTGTGCCTGGGTGTCATTTGAGAGGGTTGTTTGCAATAATTTAAAACTCGAGTGAGAAAATGAGAGGTTTATTATCATTTCTGGGGATTTCATGTGATCCTGGGGATTAATTCAAAGACAAAAACCACAGACAAAAAGTGCAAGGCGAGACAAAAGCCCTAGCATGGTTTTTATTCGTGAGTTCAAAAGCATATCACAAAACAACACTCATATCAACATTACATTTACTAGCAATTAAAATCGAATATCTTCCCTATATATAAATTCTCTCAAGCACACAGAGCCATTATTAATTTCCACAGTGACGTGCAAATGCTTACAGATAATATCACCGCATTCATTACGAAACAATAAGCAGCTCCAACTTAAACAAGATTGCATACCAACTGATATGACACTGAGCCACAATACAACGCTCATCGGTGAGAGTAAAACTGTTTGTAACTCAATACTCAAAGAGAAATACGCACAAACGAGGATCACAGCTCCACTGTTCACATAGTCACTTCACTGATAAGCCTATAGGTTATTGTGGGCTGCCCCTAATTTTGAATTTGAAGAATTGGCAAAGCGAGACTTTAACAGAGACCTTCATTTTTTTCTGTGCGCATATATAACCCAGTGTGGAAGAAACATCTTCCTTGTCATCTGTGTGCTTGCTCCTGTCCAGTATTTGTCAGAAGGGCGAGGTGGGATAAAAAGACTGGGGGCCCTCAAGGTGTGGACCAGCTCGTGTCCGCCAGTCTTGACAGGGGCTCCCTAGAGGCCTGCGAGCAGCTCACTGAGCAGCACTTCTCTTTCTCCAAGAAGCACATCTCTCTTCAGGCTGGTTCCTTTGTTCACTACCTTTACTTTCAAGGCCAGAGTCTTTACCTGTGCCTGAGGCAGAGCATCGAAAAAAAAGTCTTCATTGAACACCGGATTCCTGCTGTTCTTAATGATGGTGCTCCTTTGTTTCTGCTTCTTACCAGGATTCAGGTAGAGTGCTACGCAGCAGTTGATGCTTTTAAGGTCTGTCTGCCTGTCGTAAAGGGCCTCAGCTGCGAGCACGCGCACCCTCAGCCGGGCTGCCTCCCTGTCATAGTGAGTGCTCAGCCTCAGTTTCCCCCCCTTGTTGAGGTTTATAGTGTGCTCGCGCTGACAGAGGTCCGATGCCGCTGCTCCCCTCAAGCCACCGCTTTTACATCCACGGAAGGCGGGAGAGGGAGGGCAGCGCATTCGGCGGCGCTGCATGTTGGGGCTGTTGTCTGCTGAGCTGCATTCATCAGTGGAGAGGGAACTGTGGCGTGCCAGGGAGCGTTTGGCACGAGACACCTTGGGGGAGAGAGGAAAAGCAACTGTAAACATACAGAAATAAGCCACTAGCTGAATCAAACTAGGAGGAAAAAACTGTTACACACTCACTGATGATTTTGAATTATACATCGTGGCCATACATGAGCATATAGAGCACAAGTCCTCACCTTGGCTTGTGTCTCCTGTGTAATAGAGCGCAGGAGAGAGGCAGATCGGGAAAGGAGAGGTGAGTTAAAGGGAGATGACTCGGCTGAGGAGCAGGTGTCACTCTCACCACCGCTGAAATAGCGGTAGGGGTTGGGGTCAGCCGGGGCCAGTAGGGTTCCCCCTTGGGAGCGCCTCTGGGAGTTTGGGGAGGTGAGAGGGCTGCTGGGGTCGCTGTGGAAAAGGCTCTCCTTGCGTCGGGTATGAGGAGACTCCATCAGGGTGGAAAAGCCATAGGAGGTCTGAGCCTTTGGGACATATGGCAGAGACATTGCAGTCTGTGACTGTGGGTCAGCATTAGTGTTTACATCAATACCGACCCTGTCCATAGATCCAGCACCAGGCTCATCAGCGCTCTCTATCTGGATGATGTGCCGGTTGGCTGATTTCTGGAGATTGCGGGAAAAGAGGCGAGGGCTGCAGGGGTTCTTGCCGCTCCTAGCTCTGGGGCTCTGGCTGCAGATGGCATGGTCAGAGGCTGAGGGTCTGATTTTGGAGCAGTGCTGAGTTTCTGGGGTGACAGATTCTTCTGGGGGGCAGCAGATAAGTTTGGGTGGGATGAAGAAATCGGGAATCTTCTCTGGAGTGAGTACATTGGCATACACAGAAACAGGAATGGCCTCTATTGTCTGCGGAGGCTGGGATTGAGTCCCACTGCGGAGCTTCTCCAGTAGCCACATGCCTACTCAGACGCCCCAGCTAACAGTTTTTCTATTAAGAGAAGAGTGATGCACAGAAAAGGCAGATAGAATCAAAAGAAACGCATCCATTGATCGGAGTTCAAACGTGGGTTCCCAGAAGACATTAACCCTAGATCAAATTTGTTTTGCCCTTTACACCTCAGTAGAAAAATACGCTTCAGATTCAGCGGGTGAGTGAAATGATGACTAAACCTTTAAACCAGAAGTAGCATTAAAACAAAACAATTAAAAAAAAAACGCTTATCTAACCAGCTACAAAGAAGACTTTAATGAATGTGGAATTAGTGAGAACACGAGCTAAAATTAAATTTCATCTAGATAATTTAAACGAACAATGCGAAAAAAACGTTTTCATTAAGTTTAACTATTTTTTCATCACTCCGCAGTCATTTAAATCACCGAAAACGCAAATATTCAAAGTAATATTAAAAATGCATGCGCAAAGACGAGTCTAAATAACTTTTCTCCACCAGATAAAGCCAAGTTAAGTCCCGCTGCGCTGCACAGCTGCAGCCGAGTAAACCCACCTGTTGGCTGTATGACTCTTTCGCTTCAAAAATTCTGATCGCTGGCGCGCGGACTCGCTCAACCTTTCCAGACACTCTGTGCGTAAAAGGTATTTTCCCGACAGTTGGAGCCCAAGTGTGATCCACTACCCTCGCCAGTGGGAAAGGGCTGTTAGACCAGTCGCTCTCGTTTTATATGATGGGGTCTCTGACTTCTGAGCCAATGAGATGATCGTGAAGCCTTCCCATGATATTTACCATGAAACTGTTCCCAGCGCAGGCATGGAAGGGGAGGGTGGCGGTGGGGGTACTCATTTTGAAAGCTGTTGCTTCATCACCCACAAAGTGTTGCAAATTATGTGGGTTTTATATCTCACTGCTTCGTTGGATTTTAGAGAGAACACTGTGATTGCATTTGGCACTCACGTGATAGCTAGTCTCTAATGGACTGTGAGATAGTGCACCGTGTATTACATGGGTCTAATGCATGCAAACAGGGGACCTTAATTGGACTTCCTGATGGCAAACTGAGCGTTATATGGTCTGACAATATGCTGCATTTATACCAACCATCTGAAACTCATTTCCCAGTGATGATGCAGGGGAAAGCTCGCGCAGAGAAACTGAAGTAATATATATTTTAAAAAGAGAGAAAGAAAACATAATGAAAAACAATTTTAATGACCATCAGAAAGCAAGTTAAACTGAGGCAAATGACCACTTAGCTCCTCCTTTCTATGCATCACATTCAACTAATGAAAAAGACCTCACAGTATTACATTTTGAAGCTTAGGCATTGAATATTTCTCTAAAATCCCACTGTTTAACCATGGACTGAGTCTGATATACTGCCAGAGAACAAGAGCTCGGATCCAATGACTCTCTGCTCTCTGTACCAAAAACTCTGACATAGACATGTTGAAAATATTGGCTGACAAAACCCCCAAAAAGAAAATAACAAAACAAACAAGCTTTATTAATAATAATAATAATAATAATAATAATAATAATAAACGTACAGGTACAAATATTCACTGCTTTACTTTCTAACCTGCCAAGATGTTTGGCCTCTCTTCATCTCCTCTAATAGCAGCATCTTCACTTTGTTGGACTTAAGTTGTAGAAATTTTCAAACCAATTAACCAATCACCAAATCAGGAACGAATCAGGAATCAAGGATGATCATCAAATTACTTTAGTATGTTTGAGTTAAGTAAAATTTTATTTCGATTTTATTTCTTATTTCTGTAGCACTTTTAAAGACAAATATCACAAAGTGCTTCATAACAAAATACCAGACCTTTAAAAAAAACACTGTAAAAACAGTATTGCTAGTAGTACTTTTCAACATTCATCCCCCCAGTTTTTTTGACTGTGTCAGTTCACGATTTTCTCTATTTTTTCTCACTGTTTTGGATTTTATTTATATTTTCAAATTGCCACAGTTTATAAAGCTTTCAAATAACTCACAGTCTCTTCTTTTCTTAATGTAGTTGATTTAAATTTTCATTATTGAATGGCAAAAATATCTCCTCTGCTATGTGTGAGCTGGGGTATGAATGCAAATGAATGGACTATAGTAAAACAACAACCGAATTATACATTTATTTCGTGCTCTTGAAAGCTAAAAATAAAGGCATCTCCTGTGTGAAACAGAGCCAGTCACTTGCTGAGTTTTCCAAACAACATAAGGCATCTGAAATATGCCAAGCCTGGATAGTAGATCTGATCACAAAACTACAAAATTACATAATTTGAAATAGGGGAAGTCTAAGAAAACAAAACAAAAAAGAAAGACAACTCTGAAAGCCTGAAAGTGGTCAAGACACTTTTCCTGAAAACATTGCATTTGTTCAATTGTAACCATGTACTGCTCAATAGATCTACAATATTTAATGGTAAAACAAATAAATAAATAAAAAAAACCCTGAACAATGCAAAAGTAACATTAATTGACAATTTGCCTTTGTCTTCTATCTGGGCCTGTTTTTGTTTGGAGACAGCCAAATAAAAAAAATAAAAAAATAATAACTCAACCCACAGTGTCTTTTGCCAGGTGTTAAACATGGAGGTGGATCTGTCATGGTATGAGCAGCCATCTCGTAGGAGTCATTTGGACCAGTCGGTGTTCTGCAGGGTTTTAAAAACGGCCAATAAATACAAAGCCATTTTAGAGAATCAGCTGAATACCTTGGAGATATAAATATTAAAGCAAAAATCCACAATCTAGCCAGACCTTGCCAAACATTTCTAATGTGTGTATGACTTGTTGTTTTCACTATTTGGAAAGTCTGCCCATCATTATACATTAAGTCTATCAGCAAAAGCAGATATAAGACTATATGTGTGTTTGTGGCCTTACGTGACTGGATCATTAAACTACTGTTGCAGTTAAAGGCGCCGTAGGGTCTGATACATGCATCCTTAAATCTTCTTGTGGTCAGAATCGGATCTGCTTGGCTTGATTCACAGTGAAAGTGGGCAATCCTGTCTCCAACAGCAAACCTTTGTCTTTACGTCATTAAACCACTGAATTTATTTCCATGTCATTTGCCTTTAAAAGACTATTTCTTTTCATCACAGTTTAGTCAAAACCTCAATCTGCACAATTGTGAACAACAGGTCTTACCAGTTGGACACATGAGCGCTGTTCCTGGGAGATAAAAGCCAATTAGTTTTTAACATTTATTTCAATGTATATACTTTCAAGTCATTTGATTTTTATAGTTATTAACCATTTTTCTCATAAAAAACTGCATTCAGAAAACGTGAATTAGCAGAGTAGAGAGTAGGAGAAGACATTTGAGCCTTGGTATAAGTTTTGACCTGATCTAATTATGATGAAACTCAATAAGTATTTTCAGACATATATTAATAGATGATATTTGATATTTTTACTGCCTGACAGCAGACAGAGGGGGTTCACACGGAAAGCAGAGGAAGAAGGCGTGTGAGAACAATCTGCATTCACCATTTTTCTGGATGTACAGCAAGAACATTTTTACTTTAATGCTTAAAAAAAAGGAAAATATAGTCTCACATGACCCACCAATGCAGATGTGTGAACTTACTCAACAATACTCAAGAGTCTCAGCTGTAATTTGTGCCAATGGGACAAAGAACTAAATATAGGTCTGAAATAATTATGTAAATGAGAGCCATTCATGCTATTTTTTTTTCTGAAAGTAGACCGTTGTCAATTATAGATAAATGATGAGCCATTAGATTTGTATGAATTATCCACTGGTCTAGCTGTGAACGCAGACATTAAGCCAGGCAACTATTTACTGATCCCATTTGGAAATGCATGTTTTATCCCTGCACGGAGTACACACATGTACTGCAATCGAGCAGTCCAGTGAGGTTTTCAATTTATTGCATAAAAAACACAAAATAATAATAAGAACAAAAAAAATATGATGATAGTGGATAAAAAGCATTGCAACTGTTTAACCATACATTCAATTCAATTCAATTCAATTCAATTCAATTCAATTCAATTCAACTTTATTTATATATCACCAAATCACAAGAATCTTTATATTGTATGGTAAAGACAGTACAATAATACAGGTAAACCCCAGCAAACAGATGATCCCCTATGAGCAATAACTTGGCAGCAGTGGGAAGGAAAACCTCCCTTTTAACAGGAAGAAACCTCCAGCACAGCCAGCTTCACAGAGGAGCAGCCGTCTGCCGTGACTGGTTAGGGATGAAGGGACAAAGAAGCACTGTGGAAGAGTGTATCTCAGAGAATAGCAGAGCGAACACCTCTAAATGAACTACTACTATTATTTTGAAAATTTTAAACTTGTACAGTATCACTGCAGTCATGATATTCTCAAAGTATGTCAAAGTGAACATGATTTAACTGGGTTGTGTGATATTATATGATTTTATTTCTAAAAAGTTTATAAATAATAAAACTATAGAAACCATTAAAACTAGCACAAACGTTAGAAAATAAAGATACCTCAGAAGCAGTCAGACAAACACATTCAATCCAGCTCTGAACTATGTGTAATGCAGAGGAATAAAGATTCAATCTGCACTGTTATGTTGTTTAAAAGGAAAACATGTGCGTTACCTCACATTATTTATATAAATACATATTGAATAAAAACATTAGATTAGCTGCAGTTTAAAATTATTCACAACTGTCAAAATACAGTATTTGATATAGGTTGATAAATACTGGCACTGTTGCACACACACACACACACACACACACACACACACACACACACACACACACACACACACACACACACACACACGAATTTAGAATAAAGTGAGAAAAGATAAATGCTGGGCTCTTTTGATTTCTAATATTGGCAGTTAAAATATACAAAACTCGACCTACTTTATAATCCTCTCTCTCTCTCTCTCTCTCTCTCTCTCTCTCTCTCTCTCTCTCTCTCTCTCTCTCTCTCTGTCTCTCTCTCTGTCTCTCTCTCTCCATATATACATATTATTCTCTAAAACTCTTCTCTCACAAATCATACCAACACAGTAAACAGACATTTGTGTACGCAGACACAAACAAGCGAGCAGGATCGTGTACCTCTGTCAGTTTTAATTGGACCGATGCTTTTGTGCTTCTGTTTATAACGAACCCTTCCTCACTTAACCGATTCTTCCTTGCCTCTGCAACCAACCTACAGGATCGAACTCAGCATTGTTTTTTTTTTTTTTCTCCAATTAAGCGTCAGCTGTTGACTGTCTTCAGCTACTCATGTCACTTCAGCTAAGCATGAGCTCATCCAGATAATCACCAATCATGTTTCAGAGTGGAATCAATGTGGGCTTTTTCTTTACTGTCAATGTATTGTTATTGTGAGCCGTTCTTATGAGCAGTGGGATTTTGTTTATCTGTTTTGGCTTTTAGTTCTACCTATTGCAACATTTGTTTGATGTGTCCTCCATCATTTCGGCTTTTTTCTTTTATTATTTTTTTGTTCTGTTATTATTTTTCTTTCACATTAGCACTTATGGATGTCAGTGCTTGTATAACAATCCACCAATTAGGTCCAGACTGGACTATCTCTACAACCATTGTATGATCAAGACATTTAGTATGCGTACCTGCAGGAGGAATCCAGCTGATTTTAGTGACCTTTCACTAAAAGCAGCTTTCTTTTGGGTCAGACTCTTCATTTATCCTGTTATAGAGGCTATTTTAACAACTATTGAATAAAATTGTTTAAAATTTGCTGCAAAAACCCTCTAGAGCAGGGTTTGTCAAACTCTATTGGCCCTGATGTAAAACTGTGTTTTATACTATATTACATCAGACTCTCTTTGAGCAAACCTTTGGCCATGGTGTGAAGGAAAAGGTGATTTTTAACTGGAAGAGAAATCCATCAGA